AACAAAAACACTTAAAAAAAAAAAAAAACTCTTTTACATTGTCTTTCATGTCAATAAAATGCAAATAAGGATATTCAATGGAAGTTTTACTTGATATGAAACATATCGTATTACTTTAAAAATTGATGACCTAGAATATATTTTTAGCTTGTGGCTACCACTAAAATAATGGGAATTTATTATTGAACTATGTGTAAGTTTATTATTTCAGATGCGTTATTATTCATGGAGGTTAATCTGGCATTTATTTTTAATTGCATCTGGCTTTATTGTTTTTAATGTTTGATAAATGTGGTAGAATTTCTTTCACTATCTCTTCATCTTTAATGTTTGGAACTGATAACAAATACAGATGGGTATAAAAATATCAGCTTCATTGTTAATAAAACTGGATTGAAAAATAAAGCTTTCTATGCCTTCATCCCCAAATTAGACTAATACAATTTCTGTTTCCTTATTCTGCTTAGCTCCTCCCCACTCTTCTACCTTTCACCCCTATTGTAGAATGGAGATGCTCTGGCCTGGGTAACTTAAATATAACACATTAACCTCTTGTTTGTAGGGTAGCTGGGAGAATGATGGCCTAGAGAGAGCTGAGATACTCCTAACATATACAAGTTTTTTCCCCCACTCTCACCAGAGGAGTCACTCATTCATTCATTCAACAAATATTTATGAATGCTTACCATGCAGGATTCTGGATCTCTCTCTCTGTCTCTGTCTCTGTCTCTGTCTCTCTCTCTGTCTCTCTCTCTGTCTCTGTCTCTCTCTGTCTCTCTCTCTGTCTCTCTCTCTCTTTCTCTCTCTGTCATCTGTCTATCTACCTATCAATCAGCCTATGTTAATAAACAAAGCAAGCTCTGCCCTTGTGATGATTACATTCCAGGGGGAGAGACATCCAAAAAACAAACAAACATCAATAATTAAGACACGATGATAAATGCTATGACGAAACATAAACAAGGGTTGGTAGATGGGTCCAGAAAGCATTATGATGAGAAAACACTTGAGCTGAAACACAAAAGACATTTGCAATCTTCTTTGAGGGAGGCAAACTGGCAGGAAGGATAGAAGCCGTCTTTCAGTACTGAAAAAAGGGGGCAAGTATCTATTTTCATCCTTTGGCATGAATGTGGGAGTGCAAGAGAGACCAGCTTTCCTTTAATTCCTGAGGTATTTTTCCTCTTACCTCACTGGACTTAATGATGAAACCCATGGTCAGCCAAGGTGTACCTTCCTTCTTGGACAAGGAGACAAGCAGTTTGTCAGCATAGTCTCACATTCAAGAAGCCACCTGGAATTCCAACAGTTCTATGAGGTACCTTCCTATTCTCCCAATGGACCTCCCAGAAGGTTCTGATATGGGACAGAGCAGTGTATTAAATTAAGTTTTAGGCCACATTGAACTCCAGAATGATAATTGATTTTTTTATTTACCACCTCACATTATGCTTAGCTATCTTGTGCAATATGTATGGATCATCAGAGGTTTTGCAATGAGCCCAAATGATACTCCAGCCAAAATGAAAACAAAGAAAGCTATAAATTACAACGAAATAAACCCTCCCTCATTACCAAATTTCCGGGAAGAATTTAAAGTCCCCAAACAAAAACTCTTGCCTTTATAAATTCAATCAGAAAAAAAAATCTAGATTTTATTCTTCCCTAATTTATTCTTCTCATCTTCTGCCAGCAGGCTCTCATTCAGGTTTAAGGGAATAGTCAGTGCTATCTTCAGCAGCTGCCGTCTATACTTTTACAGCACCTATGGGATTGAAATATCTCACTCCCAGGCTCTCAAGGATCCTGCTTTTTTCAGCTTCTCAGAGACAGCGGAACCTATAAGATGATTACTGCAGTAGTCTCACACTCGAAATATGTAGGAAACACAAGTATAACCCCAACCCCTACAAGAGTTATTTCAGCCAAATGTCGAACGTGGACTCAAATATGTTGTGCAATCTAGGTCTCCACTATTGTTGCCAGAAAACATGGGAAAAGATGAGATTACCTGGGTTCACCCTTGTTAGGATGCCAGACAGTCTCTGTTTGTTGTCAAGGGTCCACAGCCTGTGAACTTAGATCAAAATGGGGGAAAATCTCCTATCAGGAGATCAGATGGGACATCATGTTTGTCACTCTGGAGGAAATGTACACTGCCTCCTAGCTGGCTTGTCTTCTTGAGAAATTTAGAATATCCAATAGGGATAGTCTCTGTCACCTAATGTTAGTTGATTCTTCCTTCATACCCAACTAACATATTTATAATTTTTTATTTACCACTTCACCTTTGAGCATTTTTTTTTAGCCTTGACGACTGAGACTTGCTCCATAATTTGTGAATCAAGTACAAATGACGATACAGGGCCCCTAGTTCCAAAATCACTAATAATTTCAGAATGTGGACAGCAGAAAATTAAACGAAGCATGGGGTCCCCTAAGCACGGCACCCTGTGGGACTACACAGGTCACTCGCTCTTGGAGCCAACCATACCAACCACAACAGCAATTGCCACTCTTCTTGCTATGGAATTTGCCATGCTGCAAATATTGTCTGCTATGGAAAATTTTCCCTGAGTCTCATATTTTGTTTCAATTTAGAATCAGTTTGATCTAAAACTGTCATGGGTATTTCTGAAGCTCTTAGGACTGTTACCTCTGCCAAATGTTTCTCCTCAGAAACATACCTTTCTTCAGGTATTAAGTTTTCTAGAACTTATGCTATTTCAATGGCAGAAATATGTGTCCCATCACATGTTTTTCTGGAGCTATGGTGTAAGCTCCATTGCAATTTTTAAAAATTTTAATGTTATGAAATTTTCAATCTTACAAAAAAGTAGACACAATAATACAGTAAATTCTCCATGTTCTGATTACCCAACAGCAACAATGATCAACAGTCTACCATTTTTGTTTCATCTAGTCCACTACTGTTTTTTGCTCCTGCTTTATTTTCAAGCAAATCCCAATACACTAATTCAATCAATCCACATGTAGTGTAAGGACTTTTTTTAAAAAACAAACATAATTATGTTACCATTCTCATTACCACACCCAGCCCCAATTAGCACTAATTTCTTAATACCATTTATTACCAGTACTGTGTACTTTTTTACCTTATTGTCTAAAAAATGTCTGTTTACATCTGAATTGTTAAAAAGAACCCAAACAAGACCCACGTATTATATTTGGGTTTATGCCTCTTAAGTCTTTTTCAATCTATAATTGTTCCCTTTTCTTTTTTCTCCCCTGGTGCCATTTATGTGTTGAGGAAACTAAATAATTTGCTCTGCTGAATTGTCTATATTCTGGATTTGATTGAATTGTGTCTCAACAGTGCTGTTTAACATGTTTCTCAACCCTTTAATTTTTGTAGGTTGGTAAGTAGACCCCAGGACTTACTTAAAATTAGCCTCTTTTTTTTTTTTTTTTTGGAGGGGAGGTGCATATTCAGCTGTATTTTAAACACTTGATCGGCTTTTTTTCTTTTAAACCACTCATTGCCTTGAAGTTGGCATCTTCCATGCTTCTCCTTTCTCCTGGCTTTTGGGCCCAACATTTGTATTCCTAGCATGCTCTTCTAGATTCCTTAGAATCCTCAATGTCAAAAGATAGAAAGTTGAATTAATCTGAACCTGCAAATCTGAAACTAGAATCTGCAAAAAGCATCCAGTTGTCAAACAATCATATCATCCTATATTTCTTGAATTATGTAATTCTTTTTAAGAGGCATTCAAAAATCAGACCAACTTCTAACACAGCTCTGAACTTCATCTATCCTTGTCCTGTACATCTTCTGTCCAGTATTCACTATCTCCTTCGTACTTTCCTTTAGAATCCAGACTCTATGAATTTCAATTAACTAGGAGAATTAAGCTTAAAAGCATTGTGTGAACTGGGGTTTCCTAGTCTAATATTGTGTTCTGTACTTAAGTCCTGGGGGGGAAAAGGCAAGTGCATAAAATATTATATTTATAGTGTAATGGGCAATTTAAAAAATTCCACAATAGTTTAAAGAAAATGGGTTTGAAGCTAGAAGACTTGAGTTCAGGTTTCTCATCCATCGGTTATATCATCTTCGGAAAGCATCTTAAATTAACTTGGATTTAGTTTCTACATCTTTAAATAAGAGCAGGTATCTAGTTTATCTCCAAAGCCTTTTCTAAGGTTAGTGATTCTATGATTCTAAGTAACCTTTGATATATTGTACACTCTGAGCCTCATTTCCACTCTTTAATTATAGTAAAATTCTTCTCAGGTCGAAAGAACTTACTTATATTTAATCAGTGGGGTTTCAGCCTCAGGAAAAAAAATATATAAATTATTCACTTGCCTGTTCACACTTTGCCTAAAATACTCCTTTTCTTCTTCTTCTTCTTCTTTTTTTTTTGGCCTAGTATGCTCATCTCATATTCTGAAAAATTTGACAGATTTTGTCTTTCCTCCCACCACAATACAGTTGAAGGTATAAAGCATTAATTATTTCATTAATTCTTTTAAACATTATTACTTTGGCCAGGCACTCTTCTAGGTACTGAACCAAACAGGCGAGATTTCTGGTTGCTTAGAACTCACAATCTACTGGAGGGAGACAGACAACACACAAAAAATAGTTTCAGATAGTAGTAAGGTCTGCAAAGACAATAAAACAGGATGATGAAAAAGTGAATGGGGAGAGGATTACACATTATGTCAAGTGATCAAAGAGGGCCTTTCTGGGAAAATGTCACTTAAAGGAGACTTGGATAATACAAGGAACCTTCCACATGAACACCTAGGAGATGAGTACTCTAGGCCAGTGGACAGCATGGACAAGCTCCTAAGTTGAGAGTAAGCTTGGCATGTTCCAGAGTGGCGGGAAATGTAAGATCATAGCATAAATGGCTTAGAAGTTAGGATATGGCATTTGGTATTATCTTTATGACAGAGAGAAGATGGAGGAATTTTAAGCAGAACATTTCCTATATGAGCATCACTCACTACTTCTGCTTTCCTAACAGTTTTTGCCAGAATCCTACGGGCTCCTGAATCCCACAATGTCACCTTTGGCTCCTTTGTGACTCTGCGCTGTACAGCAACAGGCATCCCTGTCCCCATCATCACCTGGATTGAAAACGGAAATGCTGTGAGTGCCATCTGTATGGGAACTTGTCTGGGGAAAACCCATGGATTGTGAATTTGAAAATAGACCACATATTTGTAGAGTTATATTGATCTCTGTCATTGGTCCCACTTGTACCTCCATTTTTCAAAGCCTTACAATATTTTCATCCTAAAAGTCACTGCCATAGAAATTGAACCTCTTTCTTTCTATCATGGAGAATAGTAGAAAATCAAATTCTTTATGCCTCTGTGGAAAAGGGAAGTGTTAGCAATTCCTTCCCTTACAAGTAAAATAATTTTCACAGAACTCATTAGTTTATGAATTAGTTCACTGCTAGAACCTACTTTGACAAAAAGTCATCCAGAATTAGAACCCATATCTGTCAATTAAACATTCTATCCTTTTTATACTGGTTATAATAATTAATATTTATTAAGTGATTACTATAAGTCACACACTGTCCTAAGCACTTTACATATAAGCATTCATTTAATCATTCTACAAATCTATATTGAGTATCTCCTGGGCATCAGACACTATTCTAGGCATTGTGGATATAGGAGCAAACCAAACAGGTAAAGTTTCCTGCCCTCAAAGAGCTTACATTATGATAGGGAAAAACAAACTATAAAATAAAACAAAGAAAATAATATATAGTCTATGTGGATGTCATCAAATGCTATGGAGGAAAATAAAGCAGGAAAATGAGCCAGAAAGGGCAACCTTAGGAGAAAGATTTCATTTTCAATAGATTGGTCAGGGAAGCCTCATTAAGATGAGGACATATGAGCTAAGATCTAAAGGAGCTGAAGGAGGAAGTATATAGATAGATAAGTTGGAGGGAGATAACCAGGGAAAGTCTCTGAGATAAGCGTGCACATGGTATGTGAGAGGAACAGCAAGTAGGTCAGTGTGGCTAGAGGTGAGTGAGCAAAGAGGAAAGAGGTATCTGGCATGTTTAGGAGTTGTGGATCATATAGGCTTGCATAGGTCATTGAAACAACTTTAGCTTTTATTTGAGTGAGATGGGATGCCATTGTAGGTCTGCTTCTGTTGTCTGTTTTCC